CAGCGGACGGAGGGCTGTTCAGAAATGCTAAGTAAAACACGGTGTGGATGTGGATCATTTTCGTTCTAAAATGCAATTTTAACACTAAGACGTTTTAGTATGCCCCAAATTTTAGTATGTAAAATGTTTCAGCATACCAAAAAGGTTTTAGTATGGTATGTGTTTATGCAAGTGAGACAAGTGTGGTGCTAATCGACAAGAGAAGGCACCAATAATGGTCCATACACCATTCTAATCAACCAATACAACTGTTTATTGCTGGTACACACAGCTGATATCAATTATCACAATAATATTCAATAATCATGAATCATACTCATGAACATCATTAATCGAAATACAACAAAATTGCATAAAAGGCTTATAATGCGAAATAAAGATGAGGTTACATGAATAAAAGATAGATAATGAAAACTTCAAGCAATTTGATACAAGTATATACAACCTCAGAGACGTGCCATCATTTTCCTCTTCAAAGACTGGGGAGCCCGTTGCAGTCACATTGGAAAACCAACACGTGTGTCCGAGAATGCCGGGCGATGCGCGCTTATCCCACGGCTGAGCTTCCAATGTTTCAGCAAGAAACCCTCACCTTTATAGTCAAAATTTGGGTGCTGGCCAAAGGTTGGCCTAATAGGTAAGAGAGAAGCGGAGTTGATCAGGCCCACCTCCTCTCTCAGCTAGTTGCACATTATTTCTGATTGCAAAGCACTAATTTGAGGTTTGTAGTGTCAGCATGATTATCTAGAGTCAATATTCTACCTCCTGAAATTTGGAGAAAGTTAACCTTAAGGTCCGGAGAGCCTTCTCTGTTTATTTGGTCATGCCTAAGTGTCAATATTTTACCACATGAAATTTGGAGAAAGGTGTGAAGTTAACCTTAAGGTCATGAGACCCTTCTCTGTTCATTTGGTTGTTTGTTGAGCGCAACAGAAGAAAAAACAAAAAATATCTCATTTGTTACAGACGTATTAGTGTAAACAGGGCCTGAGTGTGTATTTTTTGCGAGCTGGATTGTGAAGGGGGCGGGGCAGAGCATCGGCGATGCCGGCTCAGCATCGTGTCGTCTATTGGCCATCGGCGATGAACGATGGCATCGTCTATCGGCCTAACCCTTATATCAACTGTTTTAAACCATTCCTGAGCGCCGTGTTAGGTTTTTTTAGGTGCAAATATGCCTAATGCGTGAATGACCAGTTTTCACCTCAAAATGTTCACCACATGCGCATTATTCCTTTTTTAAGATGTTCATGGTGATGTTTATGTTCACCATCTCATTTAGGGAAACTCCTGAGGTAAGTACGTCAAATATCTGAACTTTTATAATATATATATATATATATATATATATATATATATATATATATATATATATATATATATATATATATATACTTCTGGGACTTCTAGAGCGAGATCGGTGCTCAAGTCTGCATCAGTGCGTCCTCGATATCAAGATCACATCCGGGAAGTTTCAGGCGTCCTCCGTACTTGCGGTCTTGAGTATTGAAACTAAACTTTGGCAGCTGATGATGACGTTACACGAGAACACAAAGACGAAAGACCACTGAAAAACGCATATTGATAAACAGCCATAATGTGAGAATTTAACTGAAAACAAACAGAAAGTGGATTTTCAGATTTCAATTAAAGATTATAATTAAAAAATCGATTATTTTTTTCTTAATGACATGCACAGATTAATTGTTCACCGCAAAAATAGCAATGTAAGGTAACAAAATCATTTGGTTAGTTTGATTTAATTTGTACTTTAAGCGATTTAAACTTTTGTATGGCACAGGAAACAAAAGTGTAACATTTAGAAAGTTTACATGTTGTTTATGTGTTGTTCTTACCAGATTTTTTGTGTTTGTCTCCAGCGGTGACTCAGTCATCTCGTTCGCCTCAGGGCTGAAATGATGAGACATCAGCAGGGGGTTTTCAATCGGCGTCTCTATTCATTTTAGACCATTCGTCGTCTTTAGTGAACCCCAGATCATCAGGGTCCCATCGCCGCAGGTCATTAGCTGGCATGGAGTGAACACAAACCCAACTGGTCATGGACTGTGATGTTTTGTAGCCTATTTACCCATATAATCAGAGCGCTGTTGACAGGGTCTCGTCTGGTTGCTCGGGGTCATTACGTAGGATGTTTTTGAAGATATTAATGTGAGAATCTAGACATTTCGTCTGTATGTCTGTCCAACCCACCTACACTTCTCTATTGCAATCTGCTTTCTCACTGCCGGCCTACAGATTCCATTCATTTTTATGACACCAACACCCACAGCAAGGGATAAGAAAGACTGAAAAATTGCAGTTATGAATATAAACGAATAACAAATGGGCGTTGGGATGAAAAATGTCAGCCTCTTATGCGTTTTCTGCTCTGTAATGGCAATGGGAAAAAATTACCCAAGGGCAATTCACCATTAAAACGCCATCAGAGCATCCATCCGCCTGCACCTCAAATCCTAGCCCTTTCGCTGAGAGGAGACTCTCTTAAAACGCCTATAATGCTTTTGCCATTTAGATTAAATGGAAGTCATTCACCGTATCCAATTTGGGAGAACACACATTAAGGAAATTAAATTACGAGGGTGGATGGTGGGGTAGTCTGAATGAGAGATGCCCTTTACTGTTGACGTCAAGAATAAGAGCTTTAGCTTCTCTAAAGTTTGGAAATAAAGTGAATGTGTCTCTGGCATTTATCCACAATCTAATCAAAGCACTTCAGATTTATCAAAATTTAACAACAGGATTAAGCTTTTAGCAAAGATTTAGTTATTTAAAAAGGTTATAGTTATCTAACAAATTTAATTTTAATTAATTTTCAAAATTATAAGGCGAATCACACAACCGACACATGTAAGTCATACTTTAAGTCCTGAAGAAAAGCAAGACAACTATTGAACATTGTTATACATGACACTTTTATAAGTCTGAATGAGTGATGCCCTTTACTGCTGACATCAAGAATAAGAGCTTTAGCTTCAATAAAGTTTGGAAATAAAGTGAATATGTCACTGGCATTTATCCACAATCTAATCAAAGCACTTAGATTTATCAATATTTAACAACAGAATTACGTTTTAGCAAAGATTTTACAGTTATCCAACGGGTGTTGGGAACAGAATGATTTCCTTAGGTAAAATATTATTGCAACAAGTTTAATTTAATTTATTAAAATGTCAACATACACACAACCACACACATGTAACTCATATTTTATGTACTCAAAAAAAGCTGGATTTCTGTTCAACACTGTTTGTATGTGACATTTTAACAAGCTTGGACAAGAGATGCTCTTTAATGTTATGAGTTCAACAATGTGAACTGGAGATTGTTTGAAATTCAATGCATACATCCATGCAAGTATATGGGTTTGTTCATAAATAATAATAAAAAAATTTAAATCGTTAACTAATAGTTTATTGCTCCAGCAAACTACATGTACTTGTTCACATTCTGTTCCCAACATTTATCGAAATAAGACAATTTAACCTTTTTAAAAAAAGCTTTTATTGCTCTAACAAGCTATTAGCCCACTTTCTAATAAAAGCATACATGTTAATCCAGATACAACCAATACAATTACGACTTTAGTTATGGTTTTGTTACTAGCATTATGCAAACGGACTATCCTGAGTTTATTGATCGTCACGTGACAATGTTTACAAGTGACTTTAATGACGTTTTTCTGGTTGCAACTTTATTTGGAGGATGTGCAGTTTCCATCGAGCTGTATTTGATCTTTTTGCAACTTATATTACGTTTTTACTGCTACTTAACCGGCTATTTAAACCGAAAGACTTACCTGAGCTAACATACGTTGTCCTCATCCAGTTGACGTCTTTCCGCGAATAAAACTCGCTCTTAAATAGTCGAGTTCATACGTTTCAGTAAGTTGTACTGAACTGCCTAAACTTGTATTTTGACGTTTATTCCCGTTTTTCCGTAACTATTACTAAAAACGATGGTAAATTCGCGCGCCTAGCTGCGTAAACTGATGGCCGAGTCAGATTTTGCGGTCTGTCATGTGGCAATAAAGCGTGCCAAAATGACGCTTATTGTCTTTTTTATTTTATTGGTAATTATTTTTATCAATATAAACTGATTCATTTTATTGCTGTAGCTCATAACATTAAATATATATATATATGCTAATAAAATAACATTTCTCCTCAAGTGACTCAATTTAGTCATACACAAACACACTTGACTCCAACATACACAACTGTGACCTTGCTTTAAGATAGATTTAAAGTGATTTTTGTAATTCATATTCCCCCCGGCATAATCTTTTGTTTCTCTTTTTTTTTTTTTTTTTTTGTTCTGTTGTCTACCTTTGTTGTTATAGGATTTGTACCTTTTCTCTAGGTTTTTGTATTCTTGCCCTCCTGAAAAATTCAGGATGGTTGGCTGGTTTTAGCTGGTCGACCAGCCTGGTTTTAGAGGGGTTTTGGCCACTTCGAGGCTGGTTTCCAGCCATTTCCAGCCTGGTTTTAGCTGGACAGGGTGCTTGACCTTAAAACCAGACTGGTCGACCAACTAAAACCAGCCAACCATCCTTGGCTGGTTTAAGCTGGATTTTTCAGCAGGGTGTTGAACATTCCAATTAAAAAACAAACTCCAACATACACTGTAAAAAAATATCTCTAAACTTTTTTTCTGGCAACTTTTAACCTTATTAGGTTGAAAAAAAGTGACTTTTATGAACATTTTTAATAGTTTAAAATGACATATTGTCTGGGTTGGTGTTGGTATTTTACAGATTTATCATTTATATATTATTTCTTACACAATACACATATTAGTTCAAACTACTAAATGTCAATAAAATGTCCTTTATTAACTGTAGAGTTGAATTTCCAACATTAAAGTAGACAGAGCAGAGATTAAGGTCCCATTATGAAATTCAAAATAAATGGAAAACACAAAATACGGGACCTGTTAATTAACAGATATTTTTACAGCGTATAATAAACAGACAAAGAAGATTCTGATACATGTGCCACTTTTATTTAAAAACAAGCTGCCATTAACATAAAGCAGCTGTGCGATACATTAATGTACATTTGTCCGCAAGTAAAAAAAAAACAAGGAAAGAGAATGAAGAGGTGACATTAAATTGAAGCCGTCAGCATCCAAACGCAATTTCCGTGATGAGATGAGTGGCCACGTTCTCTCATTTTCGCTCTGAAGCCTCTTCAAATGGTTCAGAGACACTCTGTTCAATTGCTTCTAATGTGTTGTAACACTGCGAGTGCCAAAGCAATCCCACTGTCAACTACGTGCCCTTTGATTTTCAGTCAGAAGACAGACGCACATTTACAGTCAATTTAATTATTGAAAACGTCACACAGATTTCACTGAATAGAAGAAAAGTGCGGCAGATTATTTGTTTTTGTGCCTGTTGAATAGATAATACAGCACTTTCACAGTAGCAGGGACATCTTGGGAAACAATATCTGCGAGAAACGTGAGAAAATGAACAAGCAGACAGATCAACGCATGCTAAACCTAACAGCTTTATATTAAAAAAACAGACAAAAACAGGCTTAATATGGGTTTTAGTTGCAGCAGCATTGCACATATTTCTTCATAAAGACATGCTGTGTTTCATTGCATTGTGACAAGCTAGCTGGAAAACATTATAAGCTATGAAAATGACTATAGATAAACTGAAAATAATTCATTTTATGTTTATTACTTACTTTTTACTATTTTACTATTTCAAGTAAAAACTGATAAATGATAAACAGTTTTGGGTGTTCGTTAACAAGGTGACAGGTTAAAAAAAAGCTCACTCGAAAGCAAATACAAGTTTTTAAAAACAATTGTCATTGTATGCGCGCGAGTGTTTGCAAACAACAGGACGTTAGTAACCATAAAAAACAGCTCGTTATGCGACTTTTCATTTTTAATGTATTGCTATAAACACACTTGCTTTTGTCTAAAGTCTGCCTTATTAATGCGTAAGAATGGAAGTCTATGTGGCAAACGGCGGGTTTATTGTTATTATGCACATACGTCTTGTGTTTCTTTACAAAAGGACATTGTCACCTAGATTTTTGCCATTTTAACAGCATTGGTGTAAATAAAGCCTTAAATGTTATATAAAAAATGTAAATAATATTATTATTAAATAATACTGCTGACATTTTTGTTGAACATATGTGGCTCTATTTACATTATAGAACATTTACATTTTTTTAAATGTTCTTTATACAGGTGAAAACAGTGTCAAAATAATCCCAGTTCACACAAATTCACACAAAAAAAGCTATAAAAACTGCACTATCATTTATGCCAGGCCAGTAGGTGGCGATGTCATTTTGTAACCTAATATTTGTGTGAATAACATGCATTAAGTTGTAAAATTATGCAAATGTTAGGGTTGGATTCTCCCAAAATAATTACCTTGTGGGTCAACGGATTGAACTGGAAAGCCTCGGTCTATAAGAAGATCCAACGCAAGCGTCACATTATGGAGCTGCAGACCAATAAAAAAAGCAACAATAAAAACAAGTCACAGTTTCGGAAAACAACTAACAACTGCAGATTTTCTGGTTACTGTAAGATCGCTGGTTTTGATTTCTATCTTTTGCATTATTACCCTCAGCTTCTTAACCAGCCGTACGCTGCTGTGCTGTCATTTCCACTGTCATCCTGAGAGACGTTAATTATGCATTTCCTGGAGGTGCGTGTGAAGTTACGCTCTTGTAAAAATACCATAAGCCTGAGTTGCATTTAGCTCCTTGTTTTAAAGCGGAATGGAGCTCGCTGACAACGTGTTTCTGTTGTTTTAGTGCAAAATGCAAAACAGGTTTTCTTGGTACTCACCATTTCCGAGCTGCTGACAGGACAAAGGAAGAAGTCGCACAGAGGAATGAAGAAATCCTCCAACTGACCGATCAACAGGAGAAGGATCACTCCATCTGCAAACTAACACAATCGCATAGAGAAAATAAGAAACATGTCAAACATTAATGTGGAAAAACTGCCTAAAAAATAAGGACTTGTCACTGCACATGAGCTGAAAGATATATTATTTAGATTATTTTCCCTTTATTATAATATCATACTAAATGCACAATTAATATGCAGTGGAGAACTGTTTAAAGCTATTATTTTTAAATTGTTAATTATAATATTTTATCCATATTCAGGTTACAAATATGCAATTATTAATTGAAAATTTTATTATTTATCATTATAATTTGCAGATGATTTTTTAATTTAATAAGAAAATAAAATTTGTAAATAATAATACATTTTGGCGGTTCATTCCGCTGTGGCGACCCCTGATTAATAAATGGACTAAGCTGAAAAATGAACGAATAATACATTTTGGAGCATTATGAAAACTAATGTCCATTATTCATTCATTCATTTTCTTGTCGGCTTAGTCCCTTTATTAATCCGGGGCCGCCCCAGCGGAATGAACCGCCAACTTATCCAGGAAGTTTTTAGGCAGCGGATGCCCTTCCAGCTGCAACCCATCTCTGGGAAACATTCACATACACTCATTCACACACACACTCATACACTACGGACAATTTAGCCTACCCAATTCACCTGTACCGCATGTCTTTGGACTGTGGGGGAAAACGGAGCACCCGGAGGAAACCCACGCGAACGCAGGGAGAACATGCAAACTCCACACAGGATGGAAGAGCCAAACGGAAGTTAAAGTCCACCTTTTAATAATTTGGCAAATAATTCGATTACTGATGTCCATGTAAACACAGTCACTGTCTTTCTCCTCTGCGTCTGTGTGTTTGTTTTGCCTCTGTGAAACCGACACTCCCATTTTTATGCAAATTTCTACAGACCTTCCCTTTTTCCCTCCTCCGGTACTCCCCCCCTAAACAGAGCTGGACATGCCCACTAACCTGACTTTTTCCAAAGTAGAGGTGTGAAAAAACCCTGCTGAAACAAGGGATTGAAACCCCATCGCCCTTTAAAGACAAATTTCCTTTCTGTGTCAAGCAGAACGGACTATAAAGTTTAAACTAAACTAAACTATAAGAAGTATAGTGCCAACAGTAACATTACATATGCCAAGATTTAACCAATAATAACAGAGAAAATATACACAAGTCTTAAAGATACAGTAGCACAAAAATACAAACATAGGGGCTCTATTTTGCAGTCCATGCGCAGAGCGCAAAACGCAGGGCGCAAACGCTTTCAGGGCGTGTCAGAACGCGTTTTTGCTAATTTAAGGACGGGAAAACCTGCTTTGCCCCATAACGCATGGTCTAAAAGGGTTAAGTTTATTTTCTTAATGAGTTATAGGTGTGTTTTGAGAATAAATCAATTAGAGTCTCATCTCCCATTCCCTTTAAGACCCAGCTGCGTCGCGTCAAGAGCGCATTCGCAACTTACAGGACCCAAAGTAAGTCTAAGTGGAAAAACTGAGCATTTCACAAGCAAACAGTTCACAGTTGACAGTTTTTTTTACAGAAAACTGTTAAACAGAGCATCTACTGCGTGAAAATGAGAGATAATAGATCACTTTCACTTTCGCACAAGGATAGGGAAACCTTTACGCACAGACATCAATTAGTCTATAAATAAATAATTTTGTTTGTTAAGCGCAAATATTCATTACAAAACTATTTCTAAATTCAGTTCTAATTTCCAGCAAACAAATAAATAAACAATATTAACAAAATGTGCTCAAAAACCTGAGTTATATCCTAAAACACATGCTGTGCCCCATATGGTCTAAAACCTGACAGGTGGGCAAATCTAAGCTTGTTTTTAATAAAAGAAATATAAATATGGATATAATAAATAATACTGCTAATAATAATAACATTATACAAAAGCAAATTGTTATGAATGAACTGAAAAAGCCTCCCGAGATGAAGAAGACATAAAAGCAGTGATTTTTCATATTTATGTAGGCTAGAAAATAATATGTTTTGTAATATTTTAATCCTTTATATTTATATTCTATATCTATTCTTATTATATCCTATATATATCCTTAATATTTAAATGTTTTCATATGTAAAGATATTTGCCTATTGCTCTCTTGTGTGTATTAAGCAGCGTGTAAGCGATGCGCAACTCTGCGCCGGAGTTTAGACCGGGTTAGTTTTGGTCTAATGAAAAATCTATTATAGTTTCTCAAAATAGCAACGCGCCAGCGGTCCGCCTCAGAACGCCTCCCTTTTTAGACCAGAACGCCTATGGGCGCACAAATGAGCGCTAATGCATTTGCTATTTAAACAGCGTAGCGCAACGCCTCAAAACGACTCTTGCGCCAAGCTGAAACTACCAAAAGACTATTGCGCCACGCCTTGCGCCACACTGCGCCGGGTGTATGATAGGGCCTATAGACTGAAGTCAAGAAGGCTTTGCACACCTGTTTATCGAGATCCGTAACGTTCAGTCCCAGAGATGCCATGTTCTTATTCACAAAGTGCAAAATGGCCTGCAGGAAAGAAAAAGTTGATGAAGCTGTGAAAGATTTGGGTCAAAGGCTACATTTAGAGCATTTAAAACTGCATCGGGACCTTCTTCACGGTCTCGATTTTGTGCGCCTCCAGCTTGAAGAGCTCATCAATGGGACATTCCTCTGCAAAGACATTGCAAGAGAGAGATTAAGGAGCGAGCGCTTTCTTCTCGATACGCCTCCGCTATCTGAAACTTACTGATGCTTATAAATATGGAAATGAAAAAGGCTCAGAGTTCAGCCTACGTTTGACTCACTGTTAGACTCTCTGTCGAGCTCGTTGCTGGATTCACTGCAAAACACAAAGCAAACACACTGCTTTGGACATGAAAAGACTTATAATATCAGGACACTCGCAAATATAGTGATAAATAAACAGCCTTTATTCTTACATGGAAACTATCACAACATACTCGTGCAAAATAAAAACAGCGGATCCAACAATATAAATTTACTATCAGGCTGTAGGTGACGCTAAAACTATATGAAACTAAATAAATAAATAATAAACTGAACGTGTTAATCCGATGTGAAAAATACTGTTTGTTTCATTAATATTTATCAAAAATCTTCTCTGATGATGGACGGATTGGCGGATTGGATGAAATGTGCTTAGCCACGCCCCTCCAACCATTTTATTTTTTATTAAAATCTTTATATTACCAGGAAAACCACCTGAGATTTGTAATCTCTTTTTTTACAAGTGTCGTTAGTAAAATTGGGTGAAATACGCTTAGCCACGCCCCTCCCCTTTGCTGTGAGTGAAAAAGGAGGTGCACAAAAATAAACCCCGCCCCCTACTTAATATTCTGTTTCAGTTACAGCATCATGCTAAAAAAATTAGTTAAAATAATACAGTTATATGTTTTTGAGTGTGTGTGTGTGTGTGTGTGTACTGAATTTTGGCTGGTTAATTGATGCAGTCAGTGTGTTTAAGATAGGAGGACGTTTCTTACAGACCTAAATGTGATGAATTCTGTCTGCTTGTCCGCCTTGATGCCGCTTTTTGTCACCTGTTTCACAAATGAGAATTGAATGAATGCATGAGCAATAAACTGCTGTAATGTGATCTAACTTCACAGTGATGACAAGAGTAGGAAAAAGTAGTTTTACTGGCTTTTTCATGATATGCATATGCGTAGTTATTTTAAGTGAAGTTTATTCATAAACTAATCGCGAGAGGATCACGTAATTATGATTAAACATGGCTGGTTCTGCATAAGCTATGTATGATCCACCAATCAGGCCAGTCCTAACCCACTATGAAGAGCCAGGGTTTCTCAGCCATCTTTGATTTGAAGAATCCCCCCTTCCACCCCTGCTTCTACCCCTTTCCCTTCATAGGGTGGCACTGTGGCCCAGTGGTTAGCACTGTTGCCTCACAGCAAGAACGTCACCGGTTCTAGTCTTTTAACAGGCTGGCGGTCGTTTTTGTGCGTAGTTTGCATGTTCTTCCCGTGCTCGCGTGGGTTTTCCCCGGGTCCTCCGGTTTTCTCCCACATTCCAAAAACATGCACTACAAGTGAATTGATCAATCTAAATTTAGCACTACAGTCAATTTCTCATCCTGCAGCATATCTCTTCATAACATTCATTTTAGTCATCAGCTTTTATCAAGGGGGAGATCTACCTGAGCTCAAAGCTCCCCTTTCGCCCTGCAAACGGGAGGGAGCCCAGGGCTCAAGGACCTTTTGAGCTCAGTGCTCTCTCCCGGGACAGCATGCCAAACTTGCTTATAATCAATCATCAGCTATGTGTGAACTCTTGAAACTAATATGAGGTGATAAATGATCAAAAAGTTATGATATATAGCATATAGATTTTGGTATTAAAATGATAGCCATATTCAATTGAGCATGCATTATCATTTTCTAATTTCTAATAATAAATATGTATGTATTTGTCTGAACATCTTGTGTTTATGTTATTTCAATTTAAAGGGAATGAAAAGAAGTTGTTCTTTGTTATTAAAGTGAAAATACTGAACCTACACACAGCAGCCTGATAAAAACACTTATTTTTTATATATATATATATATATATATATATATATATATATATATATATATATATATATATATATATATATATATATATATATATATATATATATATATATCATTTGAATTACACATACAGACATATATTTTATATCTAACTATAAATAAACATTTTCTCAAATATATCCATGCATGGGTGTGTTTATATATACATAATAAATATATACACAGTACACAAACATATTATAAAGTCAAAGCAAACTTTTTTTGCATGCGATTCTAGTATATTCCTTTTAATAAACAGTCAAAGTCAAAATGATTCGTCTTCCTGTGATTTTTTTTACACTTCAAATATTTCCCGAATTATGTTTAACAGAGCAAGGAAATTTTCACGGTATTTCCTATAATATTTTTTCTTATGGAGAAAGTCTTTTTTGTTTTATTTCGGCTAGAATAAAACCAGTTTTTAATTTTTATTATCAATTTTTTATTATCAAATATTTATTATTTATTTATTATTATAATTTTAAACCATTTTAACCACCCTAACTTGCCTAATTAACCTGGTTAAGCCTTTGAATGTCACTAGTGTCTTGAAAATATCTGGTCAAATATTACATACTGTCATCATGACTGATGAAATAAATCAGTTATTAGAAATGAGTTATTAAAACTATTATGTTTAGAAATGTGTAGAAAAAATCTCTCCGATAAACAAAAATTGGATAAAAATAATTGAGGCGGGCTAATAATTCTGACTTTAACTGTATAAAGGCATGTTAATATCCATCACCTCGCACTGGATGAGCTCCACGGTGACATTAGCAGGCAGGACCAGATCGGGTTGAAAACGCCTCACAATGGCGACCAGGAGATGCAGTGTGGCCAACAGATCCCTGCTGTGAATGACTGAAAGATCCAGAGGCGGAGCATAAATATGCGAACGGCTCGTTAATATGCAAACAGGTCATGGGTGAGAGCTGATCTGATTGGCTCACGTTTAACGCTCCACTTGGCCTGGTCCACGTTGAGCTCTAAGGTCTCGTTCAGGGCTTTCAGGATCACTTCTAGCTTGCGTATCTGAGCGCCAGTGCTCAGCGCAATCTCCTCCACGTGAAGATCAATACCAGCTGACCTGCCTGCGCACACGACATGAAAACATTATTAAAAACAGCAGCATTTCTTTTGCATTGTGACGTTTTTTTTTTTATGAAAAGCTTATTTTCGACCAGGTAAAAAAAAAAGATTTAATTATCTCACAATTAGGAGTTAACATCTTGTCATTTAGGGCCAGCATGGGCCAAGAAGGTCGCTGGTTCAAGTCCCAGCTGGGTCAGTTGGCATTTCTGTATGGAGTTTGCATGTTCTCTCTGTGTTGGTGTGGGTTTTCTCCGGGTGCCACATTCCAAACACATGCAGAACCAGGTGAATTGATTAAGCTAAATTGGCCATAGTGTATGGGAGTGTGTGCCTGAGTGTGTGGGTATTTCCCAGTGTTAGATTGTGGCTGAAAGGGCATCCCCTGCGTAAAACATGTGCTGGATAAGTTGGTGCTTCATTCCGCTGTGGCGACCTCTGATGAATAAAGGGACTAAGCCGAAAAGAAAATTTAAGACTCAACAATTCTGAGGCGGAATGGTGGCTTAGTGGTTAACACTGTTGCCTCACAGCAAGAAAGTCGCTGGTTCGAGTGCCAGCTAGGCCAGTAGGCAGTTCTGTGTGGAGTTTGCATGTTCTCACCATGATGGGTGTGGGTTTCCTCTGGGTGCTTTGATTTCCCCTCAAGGTCCAAACAAATGCGCTATAGGTTAACTGGATAAACTAAAATGGCCATAGTGTTTAAGTGTGTGTGAATGAGAGTGTATAGGTGTTTCCCAACACTGGGTTGCGGCTGGAAGGGCATCCGCTGTGTAAAACATATGCTGGAATCATTCCGCGGTGGTGACCCCTGATAGATAAGGAACTAAGCCGAAGGAAAATGAATAACTGAAATATGAGTTTATATCTTATTAATAGACATATTATAATTATAAATGATTTAGTACACACTTTATTTTTATTATTTTTAAAGATTTTTAAGAATCTTTTATTGTTTTTAGCATAAGAAAAATAAACAATAACATAAACAGAACAAAAAAAAGAGAGACAGAAAAAAAAGTCAGTTTCAAAATAGACAAATAGTCGGACACAACATGATACAATATCATCCAGAAAGCATAAGAGAAATAAATAGAATTAAATATTTAAATATTAATAATTTACAGAGAAAGGTGTAGGCTCCACAACTTGATTTATGCCAAACTAATAAACCTATAAAGAGTTACAAGTCAGAATTACTGATATAAGACATAATTGGATTCCAGATTTTAAAAATTGTGTTTAGTTTGTCTGCCATCCCATATCGCATTTCTTCCATGGGCAACACGTAACTACTGATCCAAGTTTCAAACACAGGCACCTAATCTGACTTCCAATTTTGTAATTATTTTTTTTTTGCTAAAATAATACACAAAGATACTGCTTGTGATATACAGCTTAAGTCAGAATTATTAGCCCCCTTGTTTTTTCCCCCAATTTCTGTTTAAAAGAGAGCAGATTTTTTTAACACATTTTTAAACATAATAGTTTCAATAACTATCTCTTATAACTGATTTATTTTATCTTTGTCATGATGACAGTAAATATTATTTGACAAGATATTTTTCAAGACACTTCTATACAGCTTAAAGTGACATTTAAAGGCTTAACTAGGTTAATTAGGTTAACTAGGCAGGTTAGGGTAATTAGGCAAGTTATTGTATAACGATGATTTGCTCTGTAGACAATCGAAAAGAAAATGCCTAAAGTGGCTAATAATTTTGTCTAATAAAAATGTCTAATAAAAATGGTTCTTAAAAAATTAAAACTGCTTTTATTCTAGCTAAAATAAAACAAATAAGGCTTTCTCTAGAAGAAAAAAAAATTAGCAGACATACTGTGAAAATTTCCTTGCTCTGTTAAACATCATTTGGAAAATATTTTAAAAATTTAATTCAAAGGGGGCTAATAATTCTGACTTCAACTGTATATATGTATCTCCTACTTCTGAGGTGTCTCCAAAAATGCCCAATTTTGGCTCTGGTGACAGATTAATCCTGTATACTTCAGATATAAAATTAAAAATGCTCTGCCAAAATGAACTAATTTTATGGCATGACCAGAATGAGTGAGCCAGTGTACCTTCAGAGTTTTTACATTTGTTGCGCAATAAGGAAACACTCAGGAAAATCTTGTGTAATTTTACTTTTGAATAATAAAGTCTGTGGAACAAGGCAACAGTGGGCGTTTATGTGTGGAGTTTGCATGTTCTCCCTGCGTTCGCGTGTGTTTCCTCCGGTTGCTCCAATTTCCCCTACAGTAAAAAGACATGTGGTACAGTTGAATTAGGTAGGTTAAATTGTCCGTAGAGCATGATTGTGTGTGTGAATGAGTGTGTGGATGTTTCCCAGAGATGGGTTGCGGCTGGAAGGGCATCCGCTGCGTGAAAATGTGCTGGATAAGTTGGCGGTTCATTCTGCTGTGGCGACCCTGGATTAATAAAGGGACTACGCCGAAAATAAAATGAATGAATATATATGTTTTAATTGGGGCAATTATTAATGTGGCTGTTCATAATGCACTGACATGATTCTTACGTAACAGGTGATGAAGGACGAGTCCGTCATAGAGGTCTTCCTCCAGCGATCGCACCACAATGTGTTCAACTTTCAGAGTGCTGTTGATCCAGTCCAACAAAACCTGTCACAAACGACACAGCATAGCGTACAACATAAACAATGATGCTGAAATATATAAATACTGTATATAGAGCAGTCAACATTTGAAGTTGATCAAAACCTTTCATCAAAGTTTTCCTAAAACTACTGAACAACACCAATTGTCAATTTTAAAAAACGTTTTTAAAAAAAGGTTTGATTTGCACTTGTTGACTATATGGGCCTTTCTTTAATTACGGGCACTTGTGCCTTGTGAAGTTGAGTAAAAAAACTTGTTCAAAACTAACGTAACAGCCTCATAAGTCTGAATAATTTCTCTAGTTTTAAAATCTGTAAGAGGACATACTTAGATACTTAGATGTATGTATATATATGTATGTATGTATGTATGTATGTATATATATATGTATATGTATATATATGTATGTATGTGTGTGTGCGTATATATATACATATATATATATATATATATATATATATATATATATATAATTATACATTTCGTCACCTTGGAATTATAAGGTTCTTTCTGCGGTCTGAATGATTTTGAGATATTGAGCTTCAAAGTTTTTGCATTTCATATAGCAAACAGTGTGTGTGTAACATTTGCTTTTTAAGTAAAAAGTGTTAAAATTTAAACAACTTATATAAAAAAATCCCATAATGTAAATAAGTTTTCATTTAATAAGAATATGTCAATAACTCAATTTTGACAAAAAGGTGACGAGTTGTCGATATAATAAATGAGTTGTATGCTGAATTGTACACCTGTCACACTCTAAAATTTAATATTAATTTAGTTAAGAGTTTATAAAAAAATAAATAAGCTGAATTTGTATATTAAATATAGCATGAACTTATACATCACGAATACACTTTTAATGTGTGATGAGAACTTTCTAAATATATTTTTTTAATGTTTGTGGTGATGGAAATGACATTTGAACAGTTTATTGTGAAAAATTAAAAAATAGCTTCACTGATTAGCTTTGAATTGATACTAGACTTTCATGTATACAAAACTCTCTTATTTACCTTAACTTTGTTTGGTTTTTAAAAACAAAAAACTTTTAAAAACTTTAAAAACTTTGAAGGTACAACATGTTTTGAAATGACATAGAATAAATGTATTTCCTTATCAAGCAATATTTACCTTGATTTTTCTTCAAGTGTTGTTGATAAAAATTTAATTCCCTCCATCTTGAACATGTTCTCAGATGACACTATTCATTTTCATAAAACCCACCTAAATAATCTCACACAAACCTTTTAAAGAGACATTACAGTGTTGTGCTGGAAATGACACTGATACTGTGCAACAGCTATATTTTGTATACAAAATAATATTGATAATAGTCTCACATTAATAACTAATAAATATTTTTTTTATTTGTGCTGAATTAGGATATAATAATAGATATCAGATAAATAATCATTAAAAATGGTATTTTCATTGTTGAAGTTTAAAACTCTGGGTGTGCGACAAGGTGAAAACATTGATTTTGACACCTAAAAGGAGGATGAATATTATGAAAAATATGTAATAGAAAGGTTGTACATTTTAGTAAGTAGGTTTTACTGTTAGTTTGACAAAAAAAGAGAAATTTGAACAAAATTATATATATTTTAGGATATATGAAGGACATAAAAGTGCCCGCAGTTGAAGAATTACCCTTATATTTATCGCCAAAACCCATTATAGGCTATCTCACCTCTTTAAGTTTGATGACTTTGGGATCCTCTAAAGATGTCGGCTGAATGATCATTCTTTTCTCTCCACCTTAAACCCACAATAAAGCACACGTTTTACCCAAAACGTCTATTTTTAGACATCTGTTAGACCTCTTTTTCAGAGCTTACTGTGCACTGTAAACATTGTGAGGACAATAACAGTGAAAGTTATTCAATTCAATTCAATTCAATTCAAGTTTATTTGTAAAGAGCTTTCCACAACAATTATTGTTTCAAAGCAGCTTGACAAAAGGTGCATATTATTGCATTACAATCAAATTCTGAAAAGTTAATGCTATTAGTTACTAATAACTTTAACTAACTAGTAACTAATAGCTTTTAACAGAATTATTTTATATAAACATAGTTAACCTGCAGTTATAGCATAGGCTTATAGGTGATGTCGATCTCGAATGTTACTGCTTAATAAATTAATGTTCTTGTTTTGTAGAATCGACAGAGAGAGAAAGAGAAAGTCAGGGAGAGAGAGAGAGTCATTAGAGAGGGAGAGTCATTAGCATGTCACTAGCATGCTTCTAGTATAAACTAGCATGCCGTTAGCATGAACTTAGTATGAATTAGCATGTTTGCTAGTATGATTATGTTTGTTAGTATGTTTCCAGTTTGGATTGGTATATTGTTAGTATGAATTAGCATGTTGCTTGTATGTTTATAGTATGAATTAGCATGTCGCTATGATTAGTATGTTTCTGGTATGGAGTAGTAAATTGTTAGTATGAGTTGGTATGTTATTATAGTATGTCTAATGTAAAGTCAATGGCAGTTTCTGTACAATGGAAATATATGGGACAGTTGCTAGGGCACCGTAAGTGGTTGCTAGGGTGTGGCTAGTAAGTTAAATGGTCATCCGTGTTTGGCAGATTGGTAGTCTGAGTTAAATGAGCATAACCTTAAGCCTGATTAATAACCTTAATTTATGATTTTCTCAAGCCACCATAAATTATATATATATATATACTACCACTATCTTTTTTTTTTTTTTTTTACTTTTTTAACTCAGTAAATGCTTTGGCAATACATTTGTTAAAATTGTCATGCCAATAAAGCAACAATTGAATTGAACTGAATTGAGAGAGAGGCCGCAATGGGAAAAAATAAGAGACTTAAAATTGGATGCGCGGCCTTGTGTCGTGACGTCATGATGTTGATGCACTCACCCTGACGGTTGCTAAAGTCGTCCTTTTCCTCTTCAGCTCCAAAGTCTGCCATTCTCCTGACTGTTTCAAAACACAGTTTTTGTCAAAAAGTGAACTTTATTAATAGTTTTTTTTTTTTTGCTGGATTGATTTCCAGCGCTTCCGTTTGAAAACCCTCTGATCGGTCGGTTTGCGTCTGCGTGTTTGTGTCCTGAGGGAAACTCAAGGACTCGATTCATCTCAAGGTTTTGTTTTCTAACGGACATTTTTATGGCTATGATGAAGTGCTGCGAACCGAAACCGACTTCAAACGTCAAAACACAAGGACGGAGAATCTCCACAACACACAGCCGAGTCTGAACGGAGGAGAAAAACAGAGAGATTTCTGTCTTCCCGCATCACGCACGCCGACACACACTGACATAAC